TTTTCGCTGCGGCCGCATGTATATTTAATAGATTCTTTCATTTGCATGTTGAAAATAAAGAAAACAGCATACCGCAATATACTGTGCAGCATACATATACAACCTGGTAAATATTTATTCGCTCAAATTTGTATTAAATTCTATGTTAAATTCATTACTACTTTTATGGTGATTCTTTGCAGCAGTTGAAAAGTGTCATGAACATAGTCTCGGTGGGAGGGAGGATTGTGATTGTTTATGTAAATGTGCATAATTTTTATATACCTTTATGGAGGAGTTATTAAAAGCAATTTGGTGGAGCATAGAAATCATTTTACGGAAATAGAATTGGAAATATACTAGACGGATTGATGCCTTAAGTGCTCGTAATTGTTCGGAAGTTCTTATACGATAGCATTTTTCTGGCATACATATGCGGGTGTCGGGCGTTCTTACTTCATTGGTGCCACACTCAATTTTATCAGCGGTCGAAATCGATATTGTCTATAAGAGGATTCAGTAAAGAATTAACAGGAAAATACCCGCATATGATTAAAGTATTTATCTTTGGCTACTTAGTTATTTAATTTTTAATCATGAACACTGCACCTTCGGGGTCGGAGGTGATATCACAACGCAAGCGTGTTGGCAGACCACCTAAACCAACACAGTCCAGGCAGTCAAATAGCGAAGGGTCAGTTGAAGAGGAATCTCCAAGTACTTCAGAAACTGCTATGAGTAAAAAAGATGTCGACGATATACTTGTAGTTGATGGCGCTGCTCTGGCAATATCGCCGCCACTGGTAAAAGACACAACCGATGCATGTAATTCCCGTGTGCCTGCTGCTCCAACTACTAGTGGCGAGTGTCGTCGAAGTTCGCGTAAAAAAATCATAAAGTTTGATGTTAGAGATTTATTGAATAAACATCGAAAGCCACATAAAATTCAAATAGAAGCGCGTATCGATTCAAATGCACCACAAACGCCAAAACCCACTGCATCGGGTTCAATGGGAAGTGGTAGTGCTGGTGGAACTTCAGTCCCTGCATCCAACTCTGATTTGAGTAGTAAACAAAAGGCATTTATGGAAAAATCAGCAATATTTCGCCGCATATCAATATCGGAAAAACAAAATCAGCTAAATGCACCTCCACTACCCCCACCCCTGTCAGCAGTACCGAAAATGAGTATGCTCGGCACAATTAACAGAAAAAGTAATGCTGACGTCTTGGCCGCGATGGATCCGGCAAAAATAGCACAGGCACGCCGACTTAGTCGCACACAGGAAATATTCAATGCCAGTCTAATGAAATCGAAGCAAAACTCCAGTCTCATTGTCGCACAAATCGAGAGCAGTAGTTGTAGTTCGAGCAGTGGTTTGATAAGCCAAAAGGTGTCGACACCTCCCCAGCAGAAAAAGGCGACAAGTGAGTTAAAATCAACTACACCACTTACATACATATCGCTCATTTACTTTAATAGTGTCATAATCCAAAAAATACAAATATTGAACGTAGAAATTAACGCTACCTCTTCTTCTATGTTGTACAAAAATTTCATAGATGCATCGATTACCAGTAGAAAAAATATGTATACATTTTAACTATGGGAGGAATGTAAATTCAAAACTTTAAAGCTGTTCTTCTCGAGCTTGTTTTTTTTTTGAGTTATGCCACTATTAAAGTAAATGAGCGATATGTACACTAATAATGAAAATCATACATAAATATTGATGATTTCTGAAATAAAGATACAACTCAAAATTAAAAAAAAGAAAACTTCACAGACATGATCCACTCAGCAGCAAACCCCTTACGGTTTATTTCAATTTTGAGTAGTTTCGTTATTGCAGAGTACCATCGATATGTACAGTAGCCCTCACAACAGATTATATGTGCTAGCACAGCTGTAACTATGTATACCATAATCTACGTTTATAAATATATTTGTGTACGCCAATGTATGCATTTCACAAGATCATATGCATCTACATTCATACATATGTATACATTAGTGTGTATGTATGTGCATATGTAATTATGTACATACCTAGTAGGAATTGTTATCACGAAAATTTCGTTTACGATCCAACGAAATCATATATCTGAACGCAAGCAAATTGATAAAATCGTAGAACCAGAGATATTAAATAAAAAAAATGGGTTTTCTGTATTCTAGTGGAATAAATAAGACATTCATTCTTCCATTATCTCGACTGATTATTGCAGATACGTGGTTAACGCGGAATGGGTACGATATGTAGTAGCAGATCTCATTTACCTAGATCAAATTATTACATTTAAATGAGATCGAATATTTTTTTTTTTATATGGTTATACATAGTTTAATTTTGGAACATTGGCAAGTAAATTTGCTAAGTTCAAAAGTGGCACAGGAAATTCGATTAGTTTAAAAACAGGGACGGTAATCATTATGAGTAAAATAATTTAAATCAGCAATTAATCAATATTTTATGATTTTTATTTTTTCGCTTAAAAATAAAAATTGTTATTGATTTGTATTTTTTCGATCACAAATAATGATTATCTTATGAATTTATATTTTTTTCGCTCAGGATA